ACTGCTCTTCGACTCGGCAGATGCTTTGGGCGACGACCACTGGGCAGCTCTTCCTCCACGAACACCGTGCGCAAGTGGTGGCTGACTTCATGCAGTCACCACAATATTTAAAGGAGTTGCAAAATTTTGGGGTAGACTGCTTTCAGTTTGCCCTGCAAAAGGTCGGGGAGCAAATTGCTGAAGACGATTTCGAGCAGCTCGACCCCATGGCTATTTGGGATGCTTTGCCCAAGGTACCCTCGAGCTTCTGCGGGGACCCTTCCTTGCCAGTCGAGCATGAATGGTGGTCGGGCCAGCTCGAAAGAACCTTAGGCCGATCAGAGACTCTAAAGAAGACCTTCGCTCTGCCCGATGATACTACTCCTCCAGCTGCCATGTTGGTCGCACTGGCTGAATCTGTTCGACAACGTCCTCTCAATGAAGCCTGCGATTCGACCTCTGGCACCGCCCTTCAGCTCGACCCTAATGCCAGCTCGAGCAACGCGGACTCCGTCGCCGCTCCTCCGCCATAAATTAGTGTTGTATTTTTCGTTTTATTTTCCTTGAATCAGACTATGTACCTTAATGGATTTTGTAATGTTCTTAGAATGAAAATGCTTTTGCTTTCAGCTTGTCTTTATCTTCTTCATCTTCTCCAATATTTGCGAGTAATTAGACTTAATGCTTTTATTGTAACTCTTCGATATGGAGGACTAAGGCAAACTTCAAAGCAGGATCGATGTAGACTTTAATATATGATCAGCAAGCTTTTACTAGCCAATCTATTCTTCATTTATCGGATCGGTGTTTGTGTGTTTGTCTCATTACCGCTTAAATACCTTACACTTTTAACGCATGTACATACACACGCCTCCCCCCTGGAGGTGGTCCGCGCGTGCGACCATCCAGCCTCGAGGCCTTAAACACGACTGGTTTTAGAATTTCGAACACATGCCCACCCCTGGAGGTGGTCGAAGCACGCGACCGTCCAGCCTCAAGGCCTTAAACATGACGGGTTTTAGATTCTTGAATCACATGCCCACCCCTGGAGGTGGTCGAAGCATGCGACCATCCAGCCTCGTGGCCTTAAACATGATGGGTTTTTCTGCATCTTTAGGCTTCTGTTCTCTACTCATGTTTTCATGTTCGCTTTTCGCTTGTGAAGTTGCATCCACTCTAGTGCTCCTGCCTTCATATCTTCCCACTTGTTCATGCGGTCTTCATTTACTTTTCACACTTGCCCACCCCTGGAATGTTCTAAACAGGAGGTCTTCGACCAGCCTGCCCACCCCTGGGATGTTCTAAACAAGCGACCACCCAGCCCGAGAGCCTTATTCATGGTGGGTTTTGGTCTTCACACTTGCCCACCCCTGGAATGTTCTAAACAGGAGGTCTTCGACCAACCTGCCCACCCCTGGGATGTACTAAACAAGCGACCACCCAGACCGAGAGCCTTATTCATGGTGGGTTTTGGTCTTCACACTTGCCCACCCCTGGAATGT